CATACGTCTGGCCCTAACACAGAAGAGTGACTCAGATTTCAGCTTTCAAAAACCTGCAATGCAGCAATTGAGTTAATCCCTTCCTGTACACACCATACAAGGAAGATGATTTTTGATTTTTAACACCAAAAGAAAACAACGAAACAAAATATAACAAACTTTTCGCCCCCTTCCCTCCGTTCTCGTATTATCAATATCCTTACAATTCTGTACACAACACATCCATCTGAGCACATTCATATTTATATAATTAAACACTATACTTATATCAAGGTACATAAGTGAGGAAGTTAGATAAGAAGAACCTGCAAAGGGCCAATTTGAAGCCTGTCCTGAAAGGGTCAATCCACCATTGAGAGCTTCATAAGAGAATAAAAAAAACAACAACTTATGGCTTCAGTATGACTCTCATAGTGTTTAGTTGTAGGAATTAAATAACTTTAACTTTATATCATTATGAGGACTAGCGAGCTAGCATTAGCATCCAAAGTTATGGGGTTTGTATCCCTCTGTCTGTCTCTATCCGTCTCTCTTAAAATCTAACTTTAGTTGTGATAAAAAGCAAAACAGAGCACTGCTAATGTGTTCAGGAAAATGAGCATCATAATCTGTGTGATGCAAGTTTTGTGTTTAATGAACGAGATAAAAATGTAGAAGACTGCTAATATGCTCCTGCTGTTTCCTGTTTAGTCTCCCTGAGCCTGAAGCCTCAAACCGCTGCACAGAGGAGCCTTTAATTCGTAGCGAGGAGGAAAGTGCTCTGAGCTCAGAGGGCCAGAGATCTCCAGAGGTGCGGGTCCGTACGCCGAGCCCCCCTCCTCCACCCTCACCACCAGAGCAAGCCAAGGAGAAAACGCCAGCGGCCAAGCTGTTCACGCCCAGCAAGCTCAGCTTCACTGTAAGCTTCATGTCCTCCTAGAGAAAGTAACACAGAAAAGCATTGGTTCCAACTTGTTGGATTGAATGTCCCATTTCTTCCAGTCCTCCCAGTCTGAAGGGAACAACATGAACCTGTCAGACCTGCCCACCTTCACTCCCAGTGCCTTCCCTCCCAGTGCCTTCAATTATGAGCGACCGAGGCACTTCATCCAGTCACAGCCGGCCTTTCAGGCCCCCAGCTATGACAGTGTGCTGAGGGAAGCCCAGGAGAACCAGAACAACCAGCAGAACCTCAGCGGTACCCAGAACAGTGCTAATGTGCTGGAGGTCCAGGGTCCCATGAAAGCTAATCAAGCTCAGTCCTTTTCTCAAGCCCAGTTGGTGTCAAAGTCTGTGTCCCAAACACAGTCCCAGTTTCAGTCTCTGAGTCTGGCTCAGAACCAAACCAGGTCCGTGGCCCACATTCAGAACCAGACCCAGTCCAACGGAACCGCCAAGTCGTCCCCGTCTTCATCCAGCCTCAACTCTCCTACGTCCACCCCGTCTTCCTCTGCTGCCCCTCCCTTTCCCACCAACACCCCCCTGATCTCTCCCTCTGCCCCTCCCTCCTCCTCCTCTTCATCGCTGCCCCGCCCCACTGTGCGCTCCACCATCACCCTCACCCCTAGGGTCCCCAGCGCCACCGGCCTCGGCAGTGCCAGTTTGCCCGCCAACCAGGACACCATGTCAGCTTCTGCTGCCTATCTCTGCTCCGTGCTGCCGTCCTCCTTCTCCTCCAAACTGTCCCCTAACCCCCCCGCCTCCCCGTTGGCCCCCTCCAGTCCGCTCCTTCCTACAAGGACACCTGCTCCCACATCTACCCTTCCTCAGCCACCTCGCCCAGTTTCTCCCACTCTCCATCGCTCTCCCGTTTCCCCCTCCCACCCACAGCCAACCGCTCCAACCAATCAGAACAGTGTTCCACCTGCCGTCGTTTCCCTGCCCGCCAGCTACAAGGCGACGCCCAACACGTAAGTTTAGACACGCAAACCGTTTAGTTAGACTTTTATAAAACAGTGCCACACTAAAGTATTCACACCGCATTAATTTTTTCTGCTTTTCATTAGTGTTACGCTGAAGCCATTTTTACCCCGATACCTGGCTGTGCAGTATCGGCCAATACCGATACCATACCTAAATTCTATTAATATAATTTATATATATAATGTAATATAATTATAATTTCTAAACGAAAGTTCTTTTTGTTTACATTTGTGTATACAAAATGACCAAATAAATCTTAAGTCTAAGTCATTCAGATACCATCTGTTTGAACTTGATGTGTGTGTATATATGAAGAACTGCATACTACTTGGATGTAAAATAATTGCCATCATGGCTTTGTCAAGCTGCTGCCTTCCTTTATGAAGCAGGAAAAAGACTAATATAAAGTGAATCCAGTAAAACTTTTTATTTCCTACTTGGAATGAATGACAATAGTTGAAGAAACTTTTGGCTCTCAGAATGATATCGGTGCCCTATCTGTTGGTCCTCGCCGATACCGATACCACCATTTTAGTGCAGGATCGGGGCCCTTCCCGATGCTGGTATCGGTGCAACGCTACTTTCCATAGCTAAACGTAATTTTTAAGAGAAAAATCTGAAATAATTGAGTTCAACAAATAGAGCTTCCTTTCACTGGAATGACGGCTGCAGATGGTTTTATGGTCGGTCTCTACCCGCTCCTCCAGGCGGAGTAGTTTTGCCCATTCTTATTCAGAAAGTTGCTAAATCTGTCGGCAGGGATGGGCACAAATACATCAAAATGTATTTCCAAATAAAATACCAAATACCCACTTTAAAAATGTATCAAAATAAAATGCTGTATTTTAGTATTTTCAAAATACTACAAAATACTTCATTCTAAGAGCCTTTTTGCTTTTATCCCTTCACCTGTGCACTATCTGGATAAACGTCAAAGTAACAAAAGAAGAAAAGTAACTTAATAACAGAGTAAAATATTTCTGAAATTGTAGGTAATGCTTTACATCACTACATAACTGCAAAAAGCAATGCATTACTGTAGCCTAATTAAATAACTTTTTTTTACTTCCTTACTCCCAACACTGATATTGTGTAGGCTACATACAGTCAACAGTAGAACATTATTTAGGTACATTTGTAAGAAAAAGTTAATTAAAAAGGCCAACACTATTATAAGCCAAAACTAGCCTGCTACAAGTGGTGGGGAAGGTGGGCGTGTATCCCTTTAGTCATGTACAAAAAAATTTATTTAAGGTCATATGCTTCAAAAAACACCAAAAAGCAAGTAATTAAATAGTTTTTTTGTACATGACTAAAGGGATACACACCTGTTGAGGTAGTTTAAAGTGTATTTTTCGTACAAAATTAACTAACTATAGCTCTGTAAGCTGACAGGTTTTGTTAGCTTGGTGAGCTATAGATAAGGAAATATTACATAATGTAATAAAATGAAAAAAGTGCAGAGGGTGTGAATACTTTTATAAGGTGGCAATGACAGGTTGGTCTATAGAGATGTTAATGTGAGCTTCTTATGGGGATTTTTTAAAATTTTTGTTATATCTTCCCATTACTGAGTCACTTCCCTGCTCTGCTTCCTTCAGCCTTCCTAAACCTATTTTAAAGAAATCTGTTGTACCTCGGCCTTCTTCGGCCCGATCTACAGATGAAGACATCCAGGGATCAAAGGATGCCTTAATTCAGGATCTGGAGAAGAAGCTTCGCTCCAAAGAAGCCAGGAGACGACACAGCCAGGTAGGATCAACCTGCAGACTGATGGTGGTGAATGTAACCGGTGGAGAATTACTAAAACAAATTTGTTTCTATGATAAATGCTTGTTAAACTTAAAACTTGTTGACCGCCTAGAAACTACTGCAGTCGTTTTCTTAGATCGTTTTTTTCCCACTGTCTTTCTTGAAGAGGAAAAACCTACAAAAATGTTCACAGAAACTCTTATCTACATTTATAATCTGTCTGAATGACCTGCAGGGCGCCATTGCACTGAAGAGCCTGAAACCATCACCCAAACTCTTGTTCAGATTCTCTGTATCAGATCCTTGAGGGCCGGTTTTCTGCAACATTGAGGTTCATCCTTGGTCCAACACACCTGAATCAAATGCTTAAATTCCCTCCCCAGTATGCAATCAATTTCTCCAGAGTCCTTTTAATTATCTATTTACTTCAGGTGTGTTAAGTCAAGGACATATGTAAAAGTTCCAGGATACAGGTCCTCCAGGACTGGAGTTGCCCACCCCAATCTAGGATCTATTCAGTTTATCTCTATAGCGCCAATTTACAACACACGTTCTCTCAGGTCCCTTTACTGAGACAATTTAGTCAGATTGCTTCAAAGCTTCTAAGACTCATTGACTTTGGAGGATTTGCTTCTCCTAGCTGAGCAAATAGTCAATAGACATTTGCCTGCATTTTGTCATTGACTCTACAGCAATCCTTCACCATGCATGCAGCGACAGTAGAGAGTAATACTCTCTTTTAACAGAAAGAAAACCTCCAGCATAACCAGGCTCAGTGTGAGCGGCCTATGTGAAGCCAGTTTGGAATCAAGGAAACAGAAGCAGACATAGAAAAGGAACACAGAAGCATTGATCTATAAATACTTTCTATGTTAGAAAAGCTAACGGTAGACTAGCTCCACAGGTGGCTCTAAAAGGGAAAGGAAGAATTAAACAGATATGAGACAGTTATGAACAGATAGGAGACACTTTGAGACAGTTTTTATGTCAAAGGATGAAATGGAGCAGGACCAGTTTGTCACAGTAGAAACTGAGCCTATAACTATGTCTAGGAGAGAAACTGAAAAACAGGCCCAACTCTATAATCTATAATTGAAAGTGATGGCAGCATTGATCCAGGATGGAGTACAATTTAAGAGAACCAGGCCAGAAATAAGTGCCTTTTTTCTTAAATTGAGGAGGTAAAAGAGACATTTTGCCAATGGAACAAGTCAATTTAGATTAAAAATAAATGGATAATAAATAAAAAAATAATAAAAGTGCATTTTATCCAATTAGCTTATTTTAGGAAGAAAAATAATTCTCATTCCATTGGCAAATATCTCATTTACCTATTCAAATAAAGGGTAAATACACTAAATTTAAGAAATTTTTACTTGTTTCTAGATCATTTTTCCAGCGCATAAATTCGCACACGGCCTATGACTGGATTACAAACTGCACTTTAGTAGCTGGATTACCCAACCAAATGATAATCCATAACAACCAATTTACCTCAACTTTTCTTTTATTTACTTTACCTTAACTTCCCTGGTATGAGTTAAGGTGCATAAAGGACCTTTTTGGTGATTGCTTCTGTCTAGTGCCCTCATTTATTGTGTTTAACCACAGCTGCTGTGGTTTCTCTTTGTGTGGCTTTGGCTGCAGGTATGTAATAACATTTCAGGTTGTCTGTTGGCTACTTTGTGGATTCTAGCAACCAGCAACACAAGAAGATGCCATTTTTTGCTCCTTGTGCAGCTGATCCTATACATTTGTATTTTCCGCACCCGTTTGTCAGTTTGTTTTGCTTCAAGCTAACACTGACGTAACTGACTTAGAGGGGTTTATTGGTCTACAGACAAACTGATTACCTACATTCATAAAGAAATCATTATGGTTCATTTTCCTTCACCTGGGGAGCTTAGACTCTGTGGTTATCCTGGATATTTTTCCAACAAACATTAGTTCACCTTTTCTTTCCTATGGTCATAGTGGCTACGTTACCATTTAGTCTAAAAATGCACAAGCTGTCATGAAAACGAATTAGCTTATTGAAATCAGCGATTTGGAGAGAACTCATCTTTTTTTTTTTTCTGGCTGTATTAAAATTGGTGTATTTCGCAAAAGTGCAAAGGAAATATCTTTTTGCATTACATGAGTCACATGATTTAAGGACAGATTTTACAGCTGTTTTTTGTATCTCTGCTTCTGTCTCCTTGAACTCCAGTCGGCCTCAGCAGATGGCCGCTCACACTGAGCCTGGTTCTGCTGGAGGTTTCTTCCTGTTAAAAGGGAGTTTTTCCTCTCCACTGTCGCTACAAGCATGCTTAGTGTGAAGCATTGCATCCGAGTCAATGACTCGATGCGATCAACTGGTTCGCCTTAGATAAAAAACTTTAAACTTATTGGACTGTATGATCTGGTGAACTGTAAAGTCCCTTGAGATGACATGTGATGTGAATTGGTACTATAGAAATAAACTGAATTGAATTGAATTATCAACAACCTTACTTTACTGGCAAAAAAGATGAACAGGACCAGTGGAAGTGGGAGGAGGATGTGTGTTTTTCAATAAGTTATTGTTGCAATTGTGACAGTTTTTCTTTGACATTAGTGGAATATTGATAAACTATGGTGCATGTTTGTAGTGGAAGCACAGCGAGTGTCTTTGTTGACTCCTGGTTTAAAGCAGAAGCTTTATATCTTGATTTGGGCATTTTAATGAAATCATTGAAACAAGCATTTTTTATTTTGTATTAAAGTGCTAATGATTCCTCAGTCAAGTTATTTGACCCTGGGATATTTTCCTAAGCCTTAATTTTCACTCTTCATTACTCTGCTTGTCCATAAAAAATAAAATTTATTAAGTATAGTTTTTTTTGTTTTGTTTCTGACAGAAATTGTCCTATGAAGAAAGAATGGCTCGCAGGCTTTTGGGTCCAGACAACGCTACCTACATGCTGGACCAAGACAATCTCTCTGATTTACAACTTGACCAGGTACTAAAAACCTTTTTCTCTTTAGTAAGGATCACAATATTAAGGGAGTCATAACTTGGTTTATATATACAGTCCTTCTGAAACTGTTTTCAGATTCATATTTAATCATTTTAGGAGAAAAAATATTATACGGTATAGAGCTCATTTAAACACAATTTCATGCCCCTTTTTTGTTTAAACGAGGATACGCAGGAGAATCTGACGTGTGTGCCAGTTGTTGTGGATGTAGCATTAGCAACATTAGCAGTAAACCATGATTTGTGTACCATTGTTTCCTGGTTTCTGAGTCAAGACGGTAAAGGTTACACCAGGAGCAATGCTTCAAGCTTGGTTTATAGCCACAGCACGAGTCAAAAGTAACACAGTCATGCGGTCCCAAGCGCAGAGTGTGCTCAGCCGAATTTTTGTTCTGCAATAAGCTGAGTTAAAAAAAATAGTAATCATTAAATTTGAACTTATTTTTGTTGTTATTTTGTTGTATTATGTATACGGAAGAAGATTAGGGCCACTGGAAATTTTTTTTAAAAGATTTATTTTTTGTTTTAGTTTAATATGGGCAAAATATGGGAAATTCTGACTTTAATCCCAGAATTCTGACTTTAATCTTAGAATTCGGCCTTTAATTTTAGAATTCAGACTTTTGGGCAACTGGCAAAAAGGAAAAAGAAATTTCACTGATTTGTTTTTTTTTTTTTTTTAGTTTAATGTGAGGAAAAAGTCAGAATTCTGACTTTAATCTGAGAATTCAGACTTTTTTTTCTCTGAAGAGGATTAGGGCAACTGTCAAAAAGGAAAAAGAAAGTTCACTGATTTTTTTTTTATTATTTATTTATTTTCTATCTTATTTTAGTTTAATTTGAGGCAAAGAATTCTCAGATTAAAGTCCATATAACCGGTAGTAATTTTTGACTGAATGAACAAAACATTTTTTCTTAAAAATAATTAAACTATTAAGAATACAAAAAAGATGAACAAAATATGTAAGACACTTATAATCCCAGTAAACATAGAAATAAATCTATCATTTTAACAGATGGTTTGTCGCTCTGACATACTGTCAGACTAGTTGCCAGATTATTTCAGGAAAGTGGACACTAACTGTCATTTAGCTCTCTGTTTTTAGTGTAATCCAACAATCAGTTCTGAGAGACTTTGAGCTGTTAGCAGAGCTTTTAAGCCGGTGGTTCTGGTCGCTCTTAGAGATTTATTTACAGACAGAACCATATAAATTTCATTCTGCATCATTTTTTCATCAAACAGTGTAAATAATCCTGGACCAGCCTCTGGATCCATTCAGGGTTCTACTCTAGCATTCCTCCATTCTGGCATTAATGATCTTGGAAATACTAGCAGTGCCCTCTACTGGATGGGGGTAATACTACCACATTAAAATAAACTCCTTCTAAAAAGATGTTATCAGTTTATCATAAGGAACAGATTTTAATCCAATAAACCATCTATCGACCATAATCGTAAATAAATCCTTTGTTTACATCCCTCATGAAAGCCATCAGTTTTTGGGGAAGACGGCACACTGATGTCATCATTCTGGTTTAAATGGTTGCAATGGAAGCAGGTTCCCCTCTGAGGGCCTCTAAACAGGACAGTTGGCAGAGGCAGCCAGTGAGCTGCTGCATGCCGTCATTCCGACCCCACTCTGGTGGCTCTAAAGCCTCCTGATCACAGGCTTTGCTCCATCTTCTCTCCTTACCTATCAGATGCACACACACACAGTTCTGTGGCAGGCATTTCCACTCTATCATATCCACATCCCTTCTGTCCAGATAAGTTTGAGGTTATTTTGATCCCGTTTTCTGGGAACGGGTCCCCCTCACCGTCATCCATTATGTCCAAACACGCTCACAGTCAGAGCCTCCCCTCGCCTATTTGATTGTCCTGTGGGATTAGGCTTCAAAGCTTTAATTACCCGTCTTTACAATGACCTGTTGTTTGTTTGCAGTCAGACTCTCCAGAAGGAAGACGCACCGGTGGACTGTGGTAAATAGATTCCTGAATTAATATTTCATTTAAAAAGATCAGGTTTTGTGTTGGGAGCTTGACTGTTGGAGCCTGGCTGTGTTTACTTTGCAGCTATAAAAGCTAATGTTGTAGAAAACATGGAGATGAAATATAATGCTCTCTTTATGAACTGTCAATTATTAACCTGATCTGTTTATTTTCCTGGACATATTTCTTATTGCACTCCATAAAAAACTTTCAGCTTGGTTTTTAATTTTCCTCATCTTTCTAAATTAAAGGTGACAGACTGGAAAGTTCAGCCTATCCTTTACTAACAGAGCAGAAATATGCAGCATGTTGGTGTGATCAGCTGTGGAAGGTGAAACTCAGTCATATCTGCTCCCTCTCAGGGGGAAGCATCACTCTGGGACGGATGAAAGGAGTAACGAGGGATCAGCCATTCAGGAGAAATGTTTTGCTCCTCGCTTCCTTCAGATCCCCCCAGATCTCACAGTGGAGGAGGGACGCTTCTGTAGGATCGACTTCAAGGTGATTCAATCTCACATCTGTTAGTTTCATCTCAACCAATCTTGGGTCTCTGCTTTCCTTTTTTTCATCAAGTCAAACTCCGTCAGGTATACAGGATGTGATTATCGGCAGTTGCAGACGAAATGTGTATCGTTTTATCATTGTCTCCCCTTTATCTCCTCTCTTTTATCTTTTCTCCTTTTTCCTGTTTTTCCTTTCCTGTTCTACTTACATTGCAGTGTCCATATAATCTGTAATACTCCCTGCATGAATTATAATATAGCTATTTCCATGCATAAATCACGTGGAACACTATGGCGATAGCCGTATCGCTCCACTTGTGAAAGTAAAATCTGCTGAGCTCTTTTTTGGCATTTTCAACACAATTATTGTTATTGCCATACAGGACACTGTAGAAAAACAAAACAAAAATTACTATGGTAAAATGTTGACCAATATAGACATGTTAGACATCGTTGGAAAGCTTAGATTCCCCACAATTCAACCACCAAGTTTATTTTATGGACACAGTGAGCACAAAAGCACAATTAACACAGATATAGCAGCATGTCAAAATGTAAACATTACAAAGCAGCCACAACAGCATACCTTTGAAGGCATCCAGAATCTGTTTTATAAATCCAGTCTTCATTTGTTTATACTCCATTTGTACATAAGTGTCCATAGATTAAAAGTAATCCAGTATATTCATAATAAAAAACAGTGCATGATGAGAAAATCGCCACATAACATCCGCTTTTTGACATCAGAAAAGTTAGCTGGTCATAGCTAATGCTTAGCATCTTGCTAATAAGACGTACTTCCTCAAACATTTGCCTGCGATGTTTGGTATGTTTCTTTACATCATCTTCTTACCTACAAGGCAAAAGTGTCTGCAACTTTGTATGATTCGATTTGAGTCAGACACAGCCGATGAAATCTCACAAGTGCTCCTTGCCTGTCAGCCAATGACGCACTGAGTAGCGCGATATTACACCTCATAGAGCCCTGCTGTTATTGGTTAAGACCACGTGGGATGTTTGCCTTTGTAGCCAATGAAATAAGGTTACAAACGAGGCTAGAGATGGCTGGGTTGCATAAAGCAGCATAAACCTCACAGTATTTTCATTTTTATTTTCATACACGAGAAGGTCTTAGCTTTCAAATGCTGTATCACACATGTAATTTGGGCTTATAGTTCATCAGTTATTTCCTTTTCCATTTGGGTATGCACAATAGGCGAAGATCACTTTAAATTAGGATGGTTTTAAGATGCTAATGTCCCTAGCAGCACAGATGGATGTCATATCCTGATCTGCTGCAAACTGATAAAGGTGCTTGTTGGCAGTAAACAATGTAGTTAATAACTACATCATGTAACTGTCTTTTCAAAATTGCAAACACCGCACGGTGTCTGTAGAGCATCAGCTCCCATCAGGATGGGAAATGTGAGCTGGTTTTCTCACCGCTGCAGGTCCGAGGCCTCCCGGCGCCAGATATCTCCTGGTACTTGGACGGCAAAGCGATCCGTCCGGACGATTACCACAAGATGCTGGTGTGTGAGAAGGGAATGCACTCCTTCATCATAGAGATCGTCACGGTGCATCACGCCGGCGTGTACGAGTGCGTGGCCAAGAACCGGGCTGGAGAGAGCCGGTTTACCATGAGGCTGGATGTCATAGGTCTGGACATGATGGCATCCCTGAAGTCTTTTGGAATGCGTGTTCGTTTCAGACGTACTGGAATAAACTGTAAAATGAATGTTTTGTTTTGCAGCTCAGGAAGCTCTGCGCCCCCCCACCTTCGTCCAGAAGATGCAGAACACCAGAGCTCTTGAAGGCGACACGGTGCGGTTGGAATGTAAAGTCGATGCTTCTCCCCCACCGCAGCTCTTCTGGAAGAAGGACAAAGACATGCTGCGCATCGACCCCAACAGAATGAGGTAGGTCATCTGACGGTCCTCCACTGATGGAACCTCCTTTACAGCTTTCCTGCAAACAGGGATGGAAGGCAGCCTTAAACGGGCCTCACCTCCTTTCCTCTAAAGCAGAGCTCGCGGATTAGCGGACTGTGGTCCGAATCCAGACCCAACCTGATTTAAAACTTTAATGAAAGAAAAGTGAAATGGTGCTCAAAGATGACCCTGA